GTCACAGTTAACCAGAAAACATGAGTAAATCTTTAAAAGTTTGACAGGACATACTCCGTTAAAGCCAGAGAAGTTCTGAGAAGTGCAAACAAAACATAAAACATAACTCTAGCCCAGATTTCTTCCCTTAAAAAAATATTGTGTAGAAGCCTAAATAGTAATTAACCCGTTTCAATCATCGATCTGTTTTGTCAGAAGCATGCTCATTCCTGACACACACACACCTCACATCACTGACATTTTCTTTGGCTTCCGCTCTGTGTTTTTTGGCCCGTTTCTTGGCGCAGGGCCAGCGGGGAGGTGAACAACGACATCGTGGTGGAGATGAAGACGGACAAGGCCAACGAGGAGGCCGGTCTCCTGAACAAAAAAACACCCGCAGAACAGGTTAGGCCAATGGGAACAGGGAGGGTGTTGAGAGTCCTGGATTGGAACTGTGTGGTTGGTCATCGGAGGGCAAACTAGCACAACTTCCTACTAGACATTCTTCATTCTGGCATTTTTGGAGGACTTGTGCTTCTCCATTTATAAATGTGACCCATAATGCCACAAACAATAGTGTGCAGGGACAAGTCAGGACAGTGGAAGGTTCCATTTAGTGAGTATTTATGGTCAGTTACAAGAAAGTGGTGAATGCCTCATGCTTTGATTGGAATGTGTTTAACTTGGCTAATTAATACAGCTGAATTCAGATTATTTGGATGTGTCTAAGACCGTAACGGTAGCTGTCAGTAGCTCTCTTTGGATTTGTAAGACTGAGAACAGTCCTACAGACATTTCCTTGTAATAAAAGTCCTCCACAACGGTTTGATGTGTACACGAGCAATACAGCCACCAGAAATATCTTCAGATACCTCAGTCATGCTGATTGAGTGTCTAAAGTCAGTTTTACTTCAAAGACAGCAGGTTTTGAGAGAGCGGCTCCCTCCAGCTCCAGTGACAGAGTGGCAGCTGTAGGGACTCATCTGAAAATGTCATCAGAAATGTAAAACATTTCATCACCAAATTTATGGTAGCGGCAGTCGTCAGTTTTAAGCAAGCCTTGTTTTATGTCAGCAAACTGGATGACATTTCAGAACTGCGGGGAGATTGCAGACACATTATTATTTTTTTGCTGCGCTTTTGAAGTTGATATAACAAGAAGATGTAAAAGTCTGTCCCTCCGTACGCTGTGAAGTTTATTTCTTGAGATTTCAATAAAAAAAATGTCACTCTGTAAGCTGTCTTCTACAAGGCTGCAGCCAAGACACAGACATGGTTCGTTTTACTCTTTAAATAAATCTTGACTTTCACATTTGACAAAAGGTTTAATGAGGTGATTGTCCTACGATATCAGGTGAAGTTGCCCACATGTACGATGTTACCAACTAAGTTATAACGGAGGGATAATAATGCTAATCATACTTTTTATAAAATTTTCTCTATATTCTGTACAGTCGTCCTCAAATGTATTCATACCCTCCCATGAAAGAAGGAAAAAACAGGTGTCACTGAAATAAGCTGAAATTGACAAGAGCAACAATGTATAAAAATATAATGAAAATCATGACATTGTGGTTCAACAGAAATATTTCAAAAAAAAAAAAAAAAAATGCAAACAAGCATGATGGGACCCGTAAACTAATATTTTGTTGAGCAACTCTTTGAGCCAATCACTGCAATCAAGTGTTTTCTGTAACTCCCAATCAGACGTCTGCACCTGTTGACAGGTGTTTTGATTCGCTCATCCGCAAAGTGCTCTAATTTGTCCAGGGCAGTTTTTTATTTTTATTTTTTAAATTATTCTTTTCAACCACAATTCAGAACCAATGTCTTATTTCACTAAATTATAATTGAGCAAATTTTTATTTATTATTACTTTTGTCAGTTTCTAGTTATTTGAGTGACTATTGTGCCTTTTCTTTAATGGAAGGGTATGAATAAATTTGGACGACTGTCTCTCCATCAACTCTTCACTGTCACTGTCTAATATGAGGGTTCAAGGCAAACTCATTTTAACGACTTTTATGACATTATTTAAAAGAAAACGTCATACTTGTTCTTTATTAAAGGAAATGATTAATTTTGCTTATATTCACACGATTGTGTGTTTTTCTCTCTGACAGTGATGAAACCCGACGATGACAAAAACCCACCGAGGAGAGGAAGGACGGAGGACAACAGTTATGAAGACAACAGGCCTAA